ATGCTTCAACAGCCCACCGCATACTCGGTGACCACCATTTACCAGGTGCCGAGTATGTACCAGCCGCCCGTCATGTACCAGCACCCCGCCCGTTATGTACCAGCACACAACCCGCCCGTTATGTACCAGCAACCAAGCCGCCGTAATGTACCAGCACCAGCACCGTAAATGTAACCAGCACCAACCGCCCGTAATGTACCAGCACCAGCCGCCCGTAATGTACCAGCACCAGCCGCCCGTAATGTACCAGCACCAGCCGCCCGTAATGTACCAGCACCAGCCCGCAACTTACGAGCAGTCCACCATGGAGTCTGCCATGAACAGCACTTCAGCTCCGAGTCCGACCGTAAAATCCCAGAGGCCGCCATCTCGACAAAAATTAAATTTAGTAAGTTAAATGATTTATTCAACTTTAATTAATATAATGTACCAAGATTAAAACATTTTAATTATAATTGATTACAGAATGTTTAATATGTCATAAGACTGGACACCGGGCGGCGGAGTGCCGCAGTCGAGTCCGCCAAGAGCCTTCGAGTAAGATTTATTATTATTTTATACATTTATTATATGATTAAGATGATGTTATACAATTATACAGTGTTGGGTATAAATATCTATGATTTGTAGCTATATGATTAAAGTAGTTGATGAGGATTGTAGGTAGTATTGTTTAAAATTCACAAATTTCATTAAATATATTTTAATCATAGAATTTTTATCTACTGCTTACAAAAATACAAAAAATATATAGGTACCTATAAATTACCATAACCTAACCAACCCTGATACTATAATATGTTGTATAATATATTCTATAATATATTCTATACTGTAGCCTGTAGGGTTAAATTAAGTTCTTATGAGGACCAGGGAAATGCTTTACATCAGCTTTCAAAAATTCAAACAAGTAGGTAATTAAGTAAATTATTTTTTTTTTAAATGATTAATAACATATTAATGTGTGGTTTTACAAGGCGTTTCCCGTGGCTTTAAAGTAGTTTTTTTAGATTTTAATTTTACATCATATCAATTTAGTCCCTTAGCATTATTTTAATAAAATAATTGAGACAATGAGACGAATAAATAAAACAACAAATTCATAATAATAATAATAATATTGTGTTTACTGTTTGGTTTTCAGAAAAATTATGTTTTTTTCATGAATAATAAATATTTTTAGTAAATAAAACTAAAATTCTTAATCTTATAAAATACCTATATCATTAATTCTAAGTTCACTTAATAAAATATTAATAATAATAAATATTATACATTATACCTAATATCCAGGTGCTAATTTTTTTTTTTTTTTATATATTTTATTCTTCAAGAAGATAATGGGCCCAACTGAACATGTTCGTGTGGGAGCCCATGAGTTCACAATTTGAAATATAAATACATTAAATAGTTCTTATAATTTAAATATTTACAATTTGTAATATGCATTTCTCACATACTTAACTATAATATTAATAATATAAGTAATAATGTAATATATATTTTCTTCTCTTTGTTTATATAATATAGTATTATGTAAAAAATTGTGTAGTTAAATAATACAATATAATATGGTAATATAAAACTAAAATTAACAATAATTACTAAAGTCGTACAACTAATATGATAAATAATGCAGTAATCCTATATACGTTTGTTATGAGTCTGTCTATATTTTGTTCTGGTAATAGCCAAAGTATAATTTTTTTTTAAGAATCTTAAAAGAGTTGCTGTGTTTAATTTCTATTGGTAGTATATTGAAAATTTTTGACCAATATATTGGTATGTGGATTGTGTTAATTTTTTGTGCATAGTTGATACTTTGATATTAGATATTCGCCTAGTATTGTGTCTGTGTTCAGTTTTAAAAGTAAAGTAATTTTCAATTATGTAAAGTACCGACGCCTTATAAAATAATTTTTTTATTGGTATAGTACATTCATGTCATTGTATAAATATTTTGTGTGGTATCTTGAGTCTTTTTTTAGGATAATTTTTGGCATTTTGTTTTGGATTTTTTTTTTAATGGATCTAGTTGCATCATACGTACCTCCCCATATAGAAATACCATAATTAATTATGGATTCTATTAATGCTTGATACACTACTCTAATTAAATTGAATGATTTTGATTTTATTAATTCGAATAGGCATATTATTAAACATAAGTAGGTACTTAGCAGACATATATCTTTATATTTTTATACTTGTTATGTGTGAATCTAAACAATAATATAGGTATTATTATTATGTTAAAATACTAAAAAGGTACTTTAAATTCATTGATTAATCTATGTTTCAGATAGGCAAAGGGCTCCACTCTTAGTTAGGCCACCAAGACGTGCTGGAAGAGGAGGAAGAAGGTTCATGACTCCAGTATGTAAGTTTCAAACACATTTTAATACACAAATACACAATACTCTGTAGAACACATACAATTATTAAATATTTATCTAGATAAAATAATAAATTTTTTTTTGATCTCTTACATGATGAGCGAACAGATAAATTTAAATTTAATTATTTAGATAATAAATAAATCATCTGAGGATTTTGAATTTGTAAACAGAAATTAATTGTACTTTGTTTTGTAGATGAACCAGACACCCAAAGGGAACCATCCATGAATAATTCAAAAGAGTAATTAATTTATTTTAAAATAAACATTTTTTAACAAATACTTGACTTTTTATTTATATGTTTCAAAGAAAATAGGAACAATATTTTAGTTTGGTATCTTAGTTGCAAGTGTATCTACACTTATACATTCATTATTAATTTTGATGTAAAAAGTAAATGATTTAACTCTCCGGTTGGGTACAATTTTGTTTTTTTTTAATGTAACAAAAATAAATAATTAATATACATGGGTAAATGAAATAAATATAATAATATAATATGTTTACAATAAATTATAAAATAATCAAACTATCAAATAATAGTTAGCTCCATAATAGTAATATACAATATAACTGTTACTGAATTCCATTTCCTAAAGTCCTAATGATGGTAAAAGTAGGATTGGATAGATCTCAGTGGCGTGTCCAGAACTTTTTTTGTGGATGGGCCTCAAAAATTAAGTTCAGAATGGTTTTATCCCCTCATCATACTATAATTTGATCTATTTATAAGTTTTAGTATTTTTATTCTAAATGACTAATTTTAATATTTTTATTACCAATGGTACGTATCTTACCTTTTATTACCAATGGTACGTATCTTACCTTTTATTAAAACATAAACTTTAAATATTCAAATCTTTTGAAAAACACAAATAAAAATTTATACTTTTAGTATTAATAATACATATCAAAACATACATATTCTACAAATTAAAAATCAAATAAATATTTTTAATGTATGGTATCGTTGACTTTAAACATACTATAAAATGATAATATGAATACGTATACTATACTTATATATGTCACTCACTCACTCATAGTGCAATACATTTTTATTAAATACCTGATCAAAACAATTTTTTTTTCTAACTATTTATAAATAATATTTTCATTTTTCATTGAGCATCGGACTTACACTAGTCTAGTACTTAAATAAAAATGTGGGTGGGCACATGCCTACCGGGCCCATCCCCTAAACACGCCACTGATAGATCTGTTATGTATCAACCACTAAATTATGATATAAACAAACAATTAAAATATTAACTTTAACTATGTAAAATAAAATAAAATTAATAATTACACCAATACCTACTTCATAAGATATAAATTAATTAGAAATAATATTTTGGTTTTGTTCTTTTTCTTCACGAAACTTGGCATTAGACATAAGTCATGTAAAATTTCATATAATATCTTGATCAATACCATTTTTGTGATTTATTCAGTTCTTATGGTTTCTGTAACACACATGTAAAATGTAAATACTTATTAATTATGTATTATATTAAGTTAATACAGCAAAGGTACAGTAGGGGAGTTAGAGTACAAGTGTAACATTTTCAATAACGTATTTATTTCTAAGAAAATACAAACTTTTAAGCTCAGATTTTGTACCCATTTTAAATAACTTATAATTAGGGCGCGGATTTCAATGCAAAATGCATTTTTTTTTTTTTTGATCTTAGGCAATGAGTTCCAACTTCCAAGTACATAATTCGTTTCATGTAACTAGTGCTTCAAAGCTAAAAATTTTATTTTGCATTTTTTTGCATATTTTGATGTTTTTTTGATTTTTAGAGCATTTTTAGAATTATTGGGTAATTTTTGTTAGTTTTAATGCATATTTGTTCAATATTTCACCCATTATCAGATAAATAAAAAATATCATTAATGATTTCGTGTTACATCACGGTCGTAGTTTGTATGTTTTTATTTCATGTTCGTAATTTTAATAGGGATAAATATTGTGTTAAATAATGCTCCCCCCCCCCAAAAAAAAATCATCAATAAATTAATATGGTATTTTTAAGGTCATTTTTGGAGGTAAAATTCATTTTTTAAGGGGATTAATTCAATTTTTCACATTTTTAAAGCATTTTTTTACTTCATTAATTAAATTTTTTAGGTCATAATTGCATTTTTCCTAAGGCATTTTTAGGTATTTTTTAGGGCATTAAAATCCGCACCCTACTTATAATCTTTATAAATATGTGAAAAAAAAATGTTACAAACATACCCCATCTTTATTTTATCAATATTTAAACTTCAATTGTTAATGCTAAGAAAAAATTGTACCTATATATTTCTGTTGATAATTTTTGAATTGCTATTTTTTGTAAATGAATTGTTTTCGGTTTTTTTTAGGTCGCTTAACCAAGGCACTTTGGAAGATATTCCAATTGAACTAATGAATATGCCTGAAGAGTATTCTCTAGGACATTGTGTGGCAAAAGATATGCGTATGAGTGCTGGTATCGCCGTATATTTCAAGTTAGTGAATAACAGTTTTATTGATAAAATATTGTTAATGTTTTAATTTATGTATTCAAATATGATTTAGGAGAAAATTTGGAAGAGTTGGCGAACTAATGGACCAAAGACCAAATGTTGGTTCAGTAGCGCATTTGCAAGAAAACGATAGATTTATTTATTATTTAATTACCAAGGAGCTTAGCAACCAAAAACCAACGTACAATTGTATAACTGCAGCCATTACAAAACTACGTGATCTTATTGTAGAACATGGTGTTAAAAAACTAGCCATCCCACGTATTGGTTGTGGTCTAGACAAATTAGACTGGTCCATAGTAAGAGGCATTATTGAAATTGCATTTCAAAATGTAGGATGTAAAATCAAAATTTGTCATTTTATACATGTAATTTTACTTATTCAGCCTTAATAACAAGCAATTCTATGAAATAAGTTTACTTATGTTTTTATTTTTTACAGAATTTGTCAAAAGAGTCAGAATTACTTCGAGTCGAACATCCAAGAACTATAAAAGTTCGTAAAAGTATCAAAGATATAGAAAAGCGAAAATTTGAAAAACTGAATATTATATTATTTTCTCGGAAAACAACTTTACCAGTGTATTGGGATCAACATTTTGAATCAGTCAATGAAAAATACTGCTTTAAGTCACAATACTGTAAAGACTATGAGGCAGATCTTGAAGTTGGTCAGTGTTTATATTACCGCACAATGGAAGCTTACATATTCGTTATCATCACAAACGAAAATACAATAGACCATTTTTCATATCAAAACTTGGAAACTGGACTTGTGAAAATGAAAATGTTGATCAACAATGATCAGTGGCACCCAACATTCGTTATACACAGCATGAATAATTATATATTTGAATATCTCATTAACAAAAAAATTGTATCTCTAATATGTACAACTTTTTTAGAATTGACTCCATGTTTAATTATTCAAATAGTAAACAGTAATTCTTAAAAAAAACTGAAGGTTGTATTCATTATTACATTTATTTGTCTTGTTTTCTAATTTGAATTTGAAAATTTTAGTAAAATATAGAAATCAAAGACAATATACAGTTTCTTTTCTTTTATTTACGCTTAGTTTGGCTAGATGTAGCTCACAAAACTGCTTCTGGACTAGAAATTCCTAGTCCTGAGGCTGTAGTATCCACCCCAGAATTAGCTTCAACTGTTAGCCCATCAATTCAATAACCCCTAAAAGTATAATACATGGCTAATAAAAATTATGATAACTATAGTTAATAAGTTATTACTTATTACAATGTATGTATTATTCATACTACATAAAAGTAGTAACAATAATATAATGAGAATACTGTAGTGATCTTACGTACAGTTGGATTTCAAATTGAATGGATGTCAGGTATTAAGATAGACTAAACACTTGAGTTACTACCCGGATGTGTTTAATATTACAAAATTCAAATTGTTGAATTTCTCTAGTCCTAACTATTTATTTTAATACTGCTAAGCCTTTCCTGTCAATAATCATAGTATTGGGTTTTAAATATATATTCTACCTACATATATAATATAATATTATTATAATGCTTGCCTCCAGTACAATAACAATAAACTGATTAATCCAAAAAATATTTCAATATGGTTTGTTGATCTGAGGGAAGGTATAAATGAGTTTGAGTACACTGTTAGATCACTTAAAATTAAAAATACTACACTAAAAAATCATTAGAATTTGTGTATGTACTATGTAGAAATGCTTTAGTAAGTTTACTATTTTATTCAGAATCAAAATAAACTTTAAAATTTGAATTTTGAATTATATTGATTATTTATTTGTTTTGTAGATAGTAAGATTGGTATAACTTAGTGACCGCAACACTAACCCAAACTCAAGGTTAGATCTAACCAAGGAAAAGTATAATATTTTTAATCGGAAAGAGATATTGATTTTGAATGAAAAGCTTTTTTCCTAAGAATTCTATCCTGATTAATTTTATACCATAACATTTTTAGTTTTTAACTTTTTAAAATGTTTGGTTTAATATTTTTAAAATTAATTGTATTTCTGTTTAAAAATCCTAACATTTTGAAGGCTTTATTTTCAATGTAATTCATGTGAAAAGAAAAAAACTCATTGTGATCAAATAAAATACCTAAATCTTTACTAAAAGTAACTCTTGCTAATTTTAAGTTATCAATATTAATCAATATAGAATTTCTTGAGTGAGTAAAATATATAATATTACAGTATTACACTTATTGACATTTAGGTTTGGATAATTATCATGACACCGATTTACTAGTTTATCTAAAATAAAATGCAATTTTATTGCGTCAATTATTGAAAATATTTTGGCGTCATCAACAAACAAAAATAAGTGAACTGTTGTCAAAAATATTATGCAAATCATTTAGGTATAAACGGAATAAACAATAAACGCGCGATGTACTGGCGAGACACCGTTCTCCCGCGAGCTCCTGACAATTTTCCGAGAGGAGTCGACGCTATCTGATTACATATTCGGATTCTCCATTTCAATACGGAGATTTTCATTATACTTAGACCGACGCAAAATGATTATAGGTATATTTAAAAAAATTTCTAAGTCCGGCCGGCCGTGGTGTCGCGTGCCGCGCGATGTACTGGCGAGACACCGTTCTCCCGCGAGCTCCTGACAATTTTCCGAGAGGAATCGACGCTATCTGATTACATATTCGGATTCTCCATTTCAATACGGAGATTTTCATTATACTTAGACCGACGCAAAATGATTATAGGTATATTTAAAAAAATTTCTAAGTCCGGCCGGCCGTGGTGTCGCGTGCCGCGCGATGTACTGGCGAGACACCGTTCTCCCGCGAGCTCCTGACAATTTTCCGAGAGGAGTCGACGCTATCTGATTACATATTCGGATTCTTCAGTTCAATATGAAGATTTTCATTATACTTAGACCGACGCAAAATGATTATAGGTATATTTAAAAAAATGTCTAAGTCCGGCTTTCCGCGGTTTTCAGGTGCCGCGCGATGTACTGGCGAGACACCGTTCTCCCGCGAGCTCCTGACAATTTTCCGAGAGGAGTCGACGCTATCTGATTACATATTCTTATTCTCCATTTCAATACGGAGATTTTCATTATACTTAGAGCGACGCAAAATGATTATAGGTATATTTAAAAAAATTTCTAAGTCCGGCCGGCCGTGGTGTCGCGTGCCGCGCGATGTACTGGCGAGACACCGTTCTCCCGCGAGCACCTGACAATTTTCCGAGAGGAGTCGACGCTATCTGATTACATATTCGGATTCTTCAGTTCAATATGAAGATTTTCATTATACTTAGACCGACGCAAAATGATTATAGGTATATTTAAAAAAATGTCTAAGTCCGGCTTTCCGCGGTTTTCAGGTGCCGCGCGATGTACTGGCGAGACACCGTTCTCCCGCGAGCTCCTGACAATTTTCCGAGAGGAGTCGACGCTATCTGATTACATATTCGGATTCTCCATTTCAATACGGAGATTTTCATTATACTTAGACCGACGCAAAATGATTATAGGTATATTTAAAAAAATTTCTAAGTCCGGCCGGCCGTGGTGTCGCGTGCCGCGCGATGTACTGGCGAGACACCGTTCTCCCGCGAGCTCCTGACAATTTTCCGAGAGGAGTCGACGCTATCTGATTACATATTCGGATTCTTCAGTTCAATATGAAGATTTTCATTATACTTAGACCGACGCAAAATGATTATAGGTATATTTAAAAAAATGTCTAAGTCCGGCTTTCCGCGGTTTTCAGGTGCCGCGCGATGTACTGGCGAGACACCGTTCTCCCGCGAGCTCCTGACAATTTTCCGAGAGGAGTCGACGCTATCTGATTACATATTCGGATTCTCCATTTCAATACGGAGATTTTCATTATACTTAGAGCGACGCAAAATGATTATAGGTATATTTAAAAAAATTTCTAATTCCGGCCGGCCGTGGTGTCGCGTGGCGCGCGATGTACTGGCGAGACACCGTTCTCCCGCGAGCTCCTGACAATTTTCCGAGAGGAGTCGACGCTATCTGATTACATATTCGGATTCTCCATTTCAATACGGAGATTTTCATTATACTTAGAGCGACGCAAAATGATTATAGGTATATTTAAAAAAATTTCTAAGTCCGGCCGGCCGTGGTGTCGCGTGCCGCGCGATGTACTGGCGAGACACCGTTCTCCCGCGAGCTCCTGACAATTTTCCGAGAGGAGTCGACGCTATCTGATTACATATTCTTATTCTCCATTTCAATACGGAGATTTTCATTATACTTAGAGCGACGCAAAATGATTATAGGTATATTTAAAAAAATTTCTAAGTCCGGCCGGCCGTGGTGTCGCGTGCCGCGCGATGTACTGGCGAGACACCGTTCTCCCGCGAGCTCCTGACAATTTTCCGAGAGGAGTCGACGCTATCTGATTACATATTCGGATTCTTCAGTTCAATATGAAGATTTTCATTATACTTAGACCGACGCAAAATGATTATAGGTATATTTAAAAAAATGTCTAAGTCCGGCTTTCCGCGGTTTTCAGGTGCCGCGCGATGTACTGGCGAGACACCGTTCTCCCGCGAGCTCCTGACAATTTTCCGAGAGGAGTCGACGCTATCTGATTACATATTCGGATTCTCCATTTCAATACGGAGATTTTCATTATACTTAGACCGACGCAAAATGATTATAGGTATATTTAAAAAAATTTCTAAGTCCGGCCGGCCGTGGTGTCGCGTGCCGCGCGATGTACTGGCGAGACACCGTTCTCCCGCGAGCTCCTGACAATTTTCCGAGAGGAGTCGACGCTATCTGATTACATATTCGGATTCTTCAGTTCAATATGAAGATTTTCATTATACTTAGACCGACGCAAAATGATTATAGGTATATTTAAAAAAATGTCTAAGTCCGGCTTTCCGCGATTTTCAGGTGCCGCGCGATGTACTGGCGAGACACCGTTCTCCCGCGAGCTCCTGACAATTTTCCGAGAGGAGTCGACGCTATCTGATTACATATTCGGATTCTCCATTTCAATACGGAGATTTTCATTATACTTAGAGCGACGCAAAATGATTATAGGTATATTTAAAAAAATTTCTAAGTCCGGCCGGCCGTGGTGTCGCGTGCCGCGCGATGTACTGGCGAGACACCGTTCTCCCGCGAGCTCCTGACAATTTTCCGAGAGGAGTCGACGCTATCTGATTACATATTCGGATTCTTCAGTTCAATATGAAGATTTTCATTATACTTAGACCGACGCAAAATGATTATAGGTATATTTAAAAAAATGTCTAAGTCCGGCTTTCCGCGGTTTTCAGGTGCCGCGCGATGTACTGGCGAGACACCGTTCTCCCGCGAGCTCCTGACAATTTTCCGAGAGGAGTCGACGCTATCTGATTACATATTCGGATTCTTCAGTTCAATATGAAGATTTTCATTATACTTAGACCGACGCAAAATGATTATAGGTATATTTAAAAAAATTTCTAAGTCCGGCCGGCCGTGGTGTCGCGTGCCGCGCGATGTACTGGCGAGACACCGTTCTCCCGCGAGCACCTGACAATTTTCCGAGAGGAGTCGACGCTATCTGATTACATATTCGGATTCTTCAGTTCAATATGAAGATTTTCATTATACTTAGACCGACGCAAAATGATTATAGGTATATTTAAAAAAATGTCTAAGTCCGGCTTTCCGCGGTTTTCAGGTGCCGCGCGATGTACTGGCGAGACACCGTTCTCCCGCGAGCTCCTGACAATTTTCCGAGAGGAGTCGACGCTATCTGATTACATATTCGGATTCTCCATTTCAATACGGAGATTTTCATTATACTTAGAGCGACGCAAAATGATTATAGGTATATTTAAAAAAATTTCTAATTCCGGCCGGCCGTGGTGTCGCGTGGCGCGCGATGTACTGGCGAGACACCGTTCTCCCGCGAGCTCCTGACAATTTTCCG